ATTGAGGGGCGTGGTCACTTTGAGTGACAGGTGGGAGAGCGTATGCACCGAAGTGTCAGCTCCACACATGCCCGTCCTCTTTGACCATTTTTGGATTAGCTGGGAGTTAGGGGGCAGAGTCACTGCCAAGATGGCAACAGTGGAGCAGCTCACTCTGAGCTTCAGAAACCTGTGGGTGCTTTTACTGTATTTGCATGTGTGTGTTTCTATCTGCTCCCTCTAATTGTCCTTATTTATATCGAAGAATATTGTTTATCCTCCCTCTGTACAGTCTATCTGGATATGCAGCATCTTTTCTGTTGCATTTGTTTTGGAGGTTCGTGTGTTTGTGTTTTTGCATGGTTTCTGTATTCGCAGCGTGTTTTTGTTTTGTCTTCCTGCAGCATTTGTTTTTTCATTTGCGGCACGTTTTCATTCCTGTATTTGTTTTGAACTTTCGTATGTGTTTTTGAGTCTGCATCGTTTCTGAATTTGCAGCTCGTTTCTTTTTGCAGTTTTTTTTGTTGCATCATAATTTAAAAGATGAACATGTGGTTTATGAATTTACCTGATAACTGCCATGAGCAAAAGTGTAAGTATTTTTTTTACTGTACTTCATTCATCAGCATCTACACTGTAGTCAGTACAAAGTCCCTCATTGTTCCAGGATTTGTTCGCCTTTTATTTGAGCTTTCTACCCCAGAACTACACTAATGTACCCCAGAACGTCACCCCAACATTTTATCTTTATCTTCAGTAACGCCTCCATCTGAGGTTTGAGTTCTGGCTTCGTATCGTTACTGTGAAATATGTCATAATTACTTTAGTGTTTCTGCAGAATCAGAGTCACTGTTGTTGTCTTCCATAGGTGCACAGTGTTGTACAAAAATTCCTCCTTTCCTTTCGTTCCCTGGTTTTCTGCCACTGCACCTTGGAACCACTAAGTATTGTATCGTTACTGTGAAATATGTTCAAGATAAGTTTAAGATATTTCCCTCTGAAGTGCAGCTGAGTAGAAGAACGAACAGTAACTACAGAAACAGGGAGGGCAGAGGTGCACTGTGAGGAGAGGAAAACCAGTAACTGTTTGGGGCCCCCCAGGGGGAAAAGGGGGCCCCTGACAGCCCCTCATATCGGCACATTTTGCAATAACAGCTATAAACCCCTAAAACCTCCCATAAAGACGCTATACAGTGAACTGCAGCTGCTCCAAACCCTGCTAGGTTAATTATTACTTATCATCTCTAACTTTGAACAAGACGTTTCTTAACTTCCTGCACTCTGTAATTTAAAGTAGGAATACAGAACCTACAAACATCCAACCTACTTCAATAAATGTGTCTTTAAAAGGAGGATAAACCACATCAAGTAATGTGGCTTTCACCTGAGTCAGACGCTGCAGATATGGCAGTTAGCCTACTGCTACTCTGCTAAGCTAAGCGCTAGGCTAATGTGCTTTTAGCTTTTTTCCTCTCCATTACGACTGGATTTAGCTGCTGAATTATTTATGTGCTGTCACAAACTCAATATCTAAGAGCATCAAAATTGATTTTTTTTTTCTCTTTTGACGGGAAACATTAGCTGTAGCTAACGCTAATGCAGCAGCTAACTGTAAGTGATTGCAGTCACTGCAGCGTTGTTTTTATTTTTCCACATAAATTACACATTTCTTTGGCATGATGATTTATATATGATGAGGTAAGATGATGCTTTTTGGGGTTTTGGAGCAGCTGGTCGTGTTTTTACAGAGACAAAGATTCAGCGCAGCAGGATCAAGCTGTAGCTGCAAAAAGACAGAAGGAGAGCGTCTGAGGGAGAGGGGGAGAATGATGGCGGGTAAAAAGTGACAAAGTAAAGAGGAAGAAAAGCAGGAGAAAAGGAGGGAGGGAGGGAGGGAGGGTGAGAGGTGCACGAGAGGGACCCATGTTTGTATGAAACAGAGAGAGAGAGAGAGAGAGAGTGATCCTACGTTAGCGAGAGGAAGCATGATCCTGCTGTGAAGCCGGGCTGCTGGAGCTATATTTAGCTTCTGTTGCCATGTGCCGGGAATGTGCATGGCAGAGGGAGACACACACACACACACACACACACACACACACACACATATACTCAATCATCGGCCCACACACACACAATAGGTTCACAACTGGTCATGCACTCCTGCACATGTGAGTGTATGTGCCGATCAAGGAGGGAGTTTTTCCTCCTGATTTCAGACGTGAGATCATCTGCACATCAACCTCACGTTCCTCATGTCATGTATTTGATGTGAGGTGATGTATGTACTGTAATACATGCTTGTATTCATGCACACAGACACACACACAGACACACAAACATGAGTGTTCTCCTTTCTGTCACACATACTGACACGTGATTTTTTAACATCTTAGCCAATCGCTGAAACTGGAGGAAACGATTGTAAAAAAACATTTTTGTGCTGCACGTGAACGCCTCAGTAGAAAATGGATTTCCTCAGAGATGCGCGTGTGTGTGTGTGTATGTGTGTGTTTTGAGGATGGAGACACTGTAGATTCATGCTGTATTTTCTCTTCAGCCCCCCCCCCCCCCCACACACACACACACACACCCCCGTTCTATTTTGCCTCTTTAAAGTTAAATGCACATCACTCTCTCTAATCTGCCTCAATGTCGAGCGGCGCCGCAGAGCAGAGCAGAGCTCGGCGTCTCTCATTGGTGCGTCGTCAGTCAAGAGACGGCCTCAGGTGTCACCATGCAAACCCGCGCAGCCCGAACCAATGAGGAGAGGTCGACTTCCTCTGAACCGGCTCTGATTGGCTGAGGCTGTGAAGGGGTGAGAACAGACTGATGTTCAATTTGGTGAGGGCTGTGAAATTCAGATTACAGGCTGTGTGTGTGTGTGTGTGTGTGTGTGTGTGTGTGTGTGTGTGTGTGTGTGTGTATGCACTATAAATAAAGCACATGACTAAGTACATTTACTCAGGTGCTAATTTAAGGTGTCTGTACTGTACATTTCCATTTCATGACAGTCTTGAGTTGAGACTTAAAGGAGCTATTACTAAGTTTTGATAATTGCTAAATAGCTAGCGTTAGCATTAACAGCTGTTTACTCACCAGTCTAGAAGAAACGTTACAGCTTCAGCATCAAACTTCATTCCTTTACTCACCAACAGCTGTTTCCAGAGGTGGAAAGCAACACAAATGTTAACTCCTTAGCTTAACATGTCTTTTCTTCTACTGAAGTTAGCATGCTAACCAGCTAGCCCCGGCCTGTCTCCTCACTTTCTGATAGCGACTCACTTTAGCCTCCAATCAGCATCTTACGATTTATGACAGTAGACACAACATCTTTGTATTTTTCACTGTCGCTCAGACAAAACAACAAATTTGAATATGTTCACTATTTCAGGAAATAATTGTGGGAATGTTTCACTATTTTCTGACATTTTATATTCAGAAAAATCAATTGATTATTAAAGAAAATGACTGTCAGATGTATTGATAATGAATATAATTGTTGGTTGCAGGCGGACAGTTCTTCCATGGTGGAGTAAGGTGTTATTTATTTGACACAGAGAAAACATGAAACGATTTCAACTTTAAAACAAAGACATACAGTTCGAAAGCTAAGCTAACCGGCTGCTGGCTGTATAGCTTCATACTTATCCCACAGATATGGGAGAGGCAGGGTGGTTGCAGAAACTGTTTGTCCAGAACAAATAAACCATTGTTTTATTCATTAAATTGATCATCTATAACGCATAATGTTCAGCAGACAAATGCACAGAGATCTGTGACTCCAGCACAGGTTGTTTTTTTGTCTTTTTAAATGACCAAGAGGATGAAAATAAAACTGACAATTATTTACTTTATAACTTGAGTTAATTGCAGAAACTGACATAAGAATTATTTTATTAAAGTCTTAAACCAGATTCATAAACTTACAGGGCTTGGGGGGGGGGGAGTACAAAATATATGTATATGTGGGTTTCTATCTGCAGACTGACAAATTAAGATTCATTGTCACAACTCCAGGTTCAATTTGTGCACAAAAATGTGAATTTAGTTTGTTATTCACAAATATAAAAAACTTCACTAATCTCATTTACATTTGTAAATCTTAAAATAATATTGACACTATGTTCACTCCCTATAAAAACATAAACACTAGACACAGGCCGTTTAAATGCTCTGATTCTGTTGGCTGATTGGCACCAGCTGTGTTATAGTTTGCTTCACAGTGATTGGCTCATTCGCAGCCGCGTGGCTAGTAACATCCTATCAGATTCATTCAGGTGTGCCCCGCGGATATTAAAACCCCACCGGTGACCACGCCCACACTGATGACGATGCACCGCTGCTCTTCCCCGCGCTGCTCAGCCGGTTCACTCAGCGGCAGCAGAACAGAAGATGACCGCCGCCTGTTCACCGGACCTCCACCCGCCATGACGCCTCCAGGGTCTCCGCTGCAGTGAGGTGAGTATATCTGCTGCTGTGAGCAGGTTGTGGCTCAGGTGTTTCCGGTGCTGTGAGAGAGGGGGGTGGGCAAGCAGGAGGTCTGCGGGGCACAAGGCCTGATCCAGATTTCTAAATGCGGAAGTATGAGTAGAGGAGTTTCAGACCCAGTTTTTGGTTTTTTTTCACTTTTATGAGGGAAATACGGTGGCCCAGAAGCTCAATGCACTGCAGCTTAAAAAAACATGCAAACAGACAAAACGCTAACAAATTATAACTTATATATACTTTACTTATCTATCTATCTATCTATCTATCTATCTATAGCTTAAAACAATAATAGAAAATAATTTGTGATGAACCCAGGAGGGATGCACTTGTTGTTCAATTCTTTTACCCATACAGAAATGTAAGATATGACACATATGTCACCTATAAGGGGATATTTTATTATCACATATATCCATCCTCTTGATATAAGCTTTCAAAAATATATGAAATACCCATAGTAAAATAAAAAAAAAAAAAAAACAGCAAATAATAACGTCATTTTTTACATGCACTTAAAAATGACAACGGCATATTTAGTAACAACAGACAATCAATAATGAAGTTAAGTTAATGGGAAATAATAATTAAAAATGGAAGTAGATTTTAGGAATATCCTGTTACATTCTCCAGTAAAGAAGATACAAATTTCACATCATTTTGCCTGAGGGTAAAATAATATAAAGTTAAAGTCTCTTTAGTAGGTTACACTGAATTATTATCATACTGCAGGTGATTACTCCATCTAGTGGTCAGGTAGAATAAAAGAGTTTAAAAAAAAAAAAAAAAGTACCCTCAGCATCTGGATACATGAAACTGTAACTGTACACAGCTGCTTCAGCCAATCAAAGGATTTTTTGAGCTGACTTTGAAGTAGGTGACACGCTGGGCGCTGTCCGTTTGACACAGCTCCAGAGGCTGGTTCTCGCTCTCAGACGTGCTGATGAACCAGCCGGGGTACTTAACGGACTCGAACCTGGTCAGAGATATTCCTGTTAATTTCTTGTCGAAGAGGAAACGGTCCATGTCGTTGCTGCTACTTATATCGTCCTCACTGCATTTCTGCCACGAGAGAGAGAAATGTCTCATGTTAATTCTTACATGTATGGAAGCTCATTTCTGCCAAAGCAAATAGATGGAAAAAATATGAAAAACTTATTGAAAGTCAAAACTTTGACGGATTAAAAAAAAAAAAAAAAATTAAAAATCATAAGATTATAACTATAAATTTTGAAATAAAAATTTAATTATAAGATAAAATTGGAAATTTAAAAAAAAAATTATGACAAAATAATTAATAAAAAACTCAAAGTTGACATTGAATGAAAATTATGAGTTAAAAAGTAACAAATTAGATAAAAAGTGAAAATGCTGACTTAAGTTAAAGATCATCAGATCTACTGCAGGTAATGTACCGACTATAAATGACAACCTCACACAACCCCACGTCAGAAAACACACACTATCCCATTAAGGTTCTTTGGAGAAAAAAAATTAAAAATAAAAATAAAACTACTAACTTAAAACCCCCCAAAGTCTGCATAATTTCAGGTTATGTGTGTGTGTGTGGGTGTGTGTTTGGGTTTGTGTGTGTGTGTTACCTCCAGATGCAGCTCAGCATTGTCGCTGTTCATGACGCAGGAGAGGTACAACTTGTGGTTGTTGGCATTTTTGATTGACAGAACAAACGTCTGCCCGGCACCACAGGAGATGTACTTCACCAGTTTAAAATTCACTGGTGTGAAGGAAACAAACAGGAAGTCAGGATTTCACGTTACTTTAACGACATTAAGCAGTTGTTGTATTGCAGGTCATCTCTATTGTCCTGCAGTCCAGTGGTTCCCAAGCTGAGGGGTCGGACCCCTCCAAAGACTCATAAGACTTTTCTCTAGAGTTTGCTCTTTGTTTTTTCTAAATTTTACATTTGGGCATCAAACATTTTATTCATTTTAATGAAATTATCTCTGAAGTTTAGAGGAGAGGCTTGTACCTTTGCGATCGCCGTATCCTCCTTTCAGAGTGACGGCCTGCAGTTTGAAATCTTCCGAGGTGCAGATGATGTCTTTCTTATGGGTGTCGCTCAGAGTGCACTCCTCGCTTTGGACACGTACAAACTTGATGCTTCTCTGTCCTGTGGTGGCGTCCGCAACCGTCTTCACAACCGTTTCTGTGGAGACGAGGAACGAGACGTTAGTCAGAAGAAAAGGCGCCAGGTGCGAACTCTCAGCAAACGCGGCGTCCGCCTTTCTCGTTTTCTTTTCATCAAATAGTGACACATGGACCGAGTCCGGGCTTCCAACAGCTGAAGTTTTCACTTTTATATTTTGACATGTTGTTTTCCGTCCCGTTCTCGTGGACGTGATATCTCAGTAACGCCTTGAGGAAACTTCTTTAAATTTGGCACAAACATTCACTTGGACTCAAGGATGAACTGATTAGGTTTTGGTGGTCAAAGGTAAAGGTCAGTGTGACCTAGCTGCAGATCACTGATATGAGTTATTTGTTTGCCAAGTGAGTATTAAATCAGCTGCTGTCGCTCCGTTGGCCCTCACTTCCTGATCTGAAAATGATCTAAAATACACGTCTGCGCCTGTGAAACTATCGTGGCCTTTCAGTGGATATTTAAAAACTGACCTCTGGTCTCTGACTCCACTTATAGTCCATTATAAACAATATTTTTTTCCCCACACTGTCCTTATCTTAATATATGCAATGAAAACACACGAGCTGCGAAAGGTTTTGTTCCTAAGGTGGATCTTTGTTATTTGAATTTTTAAATTATTACAAATGTCAATGGGGTTTGGAATTAAGTTTTTCCCAAATCTTGAAGAGAACCTGAAGCAAATAATGAGGTGAAGCATCAACATGTGTCTGTCTTCACCCACCGTCCACCAGGCTGTCCATGATCACTCTGCAGAGCTCGTCGCCTCTCAGCTCCCAGCTGCTGTGAGTCGGGGTCTTTTTCATCCTGTTCACCGCCATCAGCAGCGTAGCGACGCTCTTCATGGTTTTTGGGTTGCAGGAAATCTCCAGGTTCAGTCCCGTGTCAAGTTTGATGATCTCTTTTTTAACGTCCTACAACATCAAACACAGAAACCACACATCATGTCGTCATGCAGGTGCTTCCCCCTGATCTGATTCTAGTTTTTAGTTTAGATAGAAATACAGGAAATGTTTCAGAGATGATGTAATGCTGTGACACGTGAATATCATTCTCAATAAAAAGAGGTAAAAAAAAAAACAAAACAGTTGTTACATTTGTTATATTCTTTATAATATCAAATAAGAACATCTGAAAGTGACAAATATACATGAGAGTGAAAACTTATATATAACTGATAATTTTCTCTTACCGTCATGTCGAAGCAGCGGGACTCAGGTCCTGTATCGTCGAATCCCAGAGGACTGAAACACAACAACAGACAGATCTGAATGTAGGACGTTTATGGAAACTTGTACTGTCGCTCACAACTGACTGTGTGTGGGTTTAGTTGTGTTAAACACATCAGACCACATCACATCACATCACTGCAATCTTCTCTTCAACTCATTGGCTCCCTGTTTGTTTTAATTTAAGATTTCACTGATCACTTTTAAATCACTTCTTCAAACTCGTTTTCACAGACTTCCTTTTAGGTGATGTCATCTTTTATTCGGCCTCTAGTCTCTCTCTAAGGATATTCTCTTCTTCTGCCATCATTGCTTCTGCCTCGATTGTCAAAGCGCTTTGTGAACTCTTTTTTTAAAAGTTATTAGTATTAATAAAAGTTATAATTAAATGACAAACCGCTGTATATAACAGATTTTGGCTTTGGTTAATTCAGTGCTATTTCTTACTATTTTTGCCACAGATCTTTCTTATTTTTTTCTTGTTGAAGGTGGAAGTGAAACACGTTGTCAGATGAGCTGGAAGCTCTTCCCTAAAGTTAGAGTTAGAGTTACTGAGTTTTCTGACCTGTGATGTTGATATTTCCAATAGTAAGAGAAGGCAGCATTAAGCTTGATTTAAAAATAGAAAAGTACAGTAATGTCAGGCACAAAGAGAACTTGGTAGACTTTCTTAAACTTACCTGTCCAGAGCTTGAGCCAAATCAAAGTCGCACATTGTCCTGATGTAAACTGTGATGAGAGTGAAGTGATTCTGTGTCAGTGGTTTGTCTGAAAACAGATTGAGTCCCTCGAGCTCAGACAGCTTTTTATAAAGCAGCTGCCACTCTCGCTCTGCTTCCTTGTTTTTGCTTCGCGCATGTACTTTCTCTCTTGATGATCAGAAACTACAGCAACCAACTTTTACCTTTGTGCGGATGGAAACTGTCAAAACCACAGGCACCAGTCATTTCTGGATGGTAAAGGCCCGTTGTGAGACCTCTTTACAGATGAGATCGGTGACATTTATTGCGGCTCGTGTAAAAAGTTTTTCATTTTGTCTTTCACCCAGGCGTGGCACCATGTAGTTTAGTCTTTACTTAAAGATTTGTTATTCGAGTCTGATGTTGAGGGCTGTAAATGTTTTGTATAATTTGTATAAATTTTAACATTTTTTTATTTTATTTTATGCTATTAATTGATAAGCTTCTATTGAGATTGGATGTTTTTGTATTGACTGTTTTACATTGTTTTTATGAATCAAATTCTTTGCATGTAACCAGGGCGCCATTGAAAATGAGCCCTGGGTCTCAATGGATTTCCCTGTCTAAATAATCGTTAATAATAATGATAACAATAATGATATTAATAATGACAATAATAATAATTATAATAATAATAATAATAACACCGCCAAGATTTTTACCAAGATTTTTGAAACAATGCGTCTTCAGTTGTGCTCAGAAGGAGACAATATGGGGCGTGTCTGTTGCTAGCAAATTTTATCAGCTGTAGACAGTTAATGTAAACTAATTTTAACGTACCAAAGTATCAATAATCTGGATATCAACATGTGAAAGTATCAGAAATGTGAATATTAACGTGCAATAGTATCAAAAACCTGGATATTAATGCACCAAAGTATCAATAACTTCAATATTAATGTACCAAAGTATCAAGTAGTTTATGCAGGGAAGCATAAAGTGATGCACCACTGGGGTTGAAAGGATTCAACTTTTAGATTCTGTGAGTTTGTAAAACAAAAATGCAATGCTTGTCATTTTTTTTGTGGTTTAGTTGTGGATTTATTTACCAGTAACATGATGTCATTGACCCAAGAAAGTTCCCCCACCGCCAACACTGACAGGATGTGGGATGGGTGGAAGTTCAATAAGAAGTTCAATAATGAGAGAGAATTAATGTGGATGATATCAAGGAGACTAAAGGTGTTATAGAAAATATTGTACTTGCAAATGTTTCAATGCATTTGTTGTGAATCCTGGTGTAAAAAAGAACAAACTTAACATGAGATAACATCGCTGCAGATCCATCAGCGACTTTAACAGACACCACATGCTACTTAAATGTGGGTCAATGAAAGTGAGTGAGTGACAGCGGGGTAAACCTCTAAGGTTAGAGATTAAAGTCATAGTTAGAGGTTAAACTTTCACTGAAATCTAACCTCAGAGGCTGCAAACATCTGTTTCAGGATGCTTACACAAAAAGTCACCACCAGGACTAAACCAAAACATCAGGAGAGTAAATATGAAACATTCACTACAGTATTTTGTGAAACTCTTAAACCAAAATCTGCATATACGCAGTTATTTTTTATGAGTCAAAACGAAAACAGTTCAAACGTTTTCTTATTTACATCTCCTGGTATCTGGTCATTTAGATAGTTCTCACATGTTCGTTTCTGATAGTCACCCCAAAACAGTGGAAGTGAAGGGAGTTTCCTTGACTGAAAAATTATATCTAAATAGCAGCCATGCTAGTGGCTCTTTGAGGCTAATTGCTAACTTCAGCATGATTTACATACTCAAAGTGGCAATGCTAACATGCTAACGTGCTGATGTTTAGCAGAAGTAATATTTAACCCGTTCTCCATCTTGGTTTAGCGTGTTAGCATGCATTAGCATCATAAGTACAGCTGGGGTTGACCCGTCTGGTCCAGATGATCCCACAGAACAGCTCCAGGAAGTGGCCGTGCCCTGCTCTCTAACAGAAGTGAAATTAACCAGATTAACCACATTTGCAGAACTTACATCCCTGTTGATCCAGAATCATATAAAATATACATTTTTATTTGCGTGTTTTTTTATTTTGTATTTTTCATAATTGCTGTGTGGAGAGTTATGGCAATGAGGTACTAAAAAAGTACTTTGACAAGCAGCACAAAGGTGAGATTTACACTTTAAGACTGACTCATTTCACTCACAATCTATGTGCACTGAGTTGTAACACCTAACAACAACAAAACAAACTGAAAACTTGGCTCATAATTTGTGATTTGCACATTGTAATGGAGAGAAATGAGAAGGGAAAGAGTTTTCAGATACTGCAGCAATCTTTAAAAAAAAAAAAGTTAAATTTATTTATTTTTTTCCAAATCAAATTTTTTTTTATTGTTATTCTATTTCATGAATTTCTTATGCAAAACGTCCTTGTAACTGTTGAACATTTTCTGCTGGTACAAACGGAGCTCAGCAGTCGGAAGCGGTTCCTCGGTTAATTTACCCAGAATTCAGTGTACCACAGTCCGGCTCAAGACAGTCATGAACTAAACTGCTCTGTATAATGGATGAATTTGGAAGTCTGTCTTATATCTCTGGTCTTATAACTGCCTCACGCATTTTAAAAACCGCAGTCACGGGGGGGACTTCATAATGGGTTTTCCACCACAGGAAATCCCACAGACAGATAGAGATGAATGCTACAAATAAATGCTATAAATATCAGGAGGAGTATATTTCCATTTTCCATTGTGTTGGGCCTTTGATCAGTTTGAAGAAACATACAGAACAACACACAGTCACACATACAGAAATGCCAAGATAGACTACATTACACTCACCTGGTCATCTGTCTGGCGTGACGCTGACTCGCAGCCCTGTGGCAGGAAGTGGTGTGGTGCTGCTGTCGTTGAATGCACCAGATCTCGTACAGTCGATTGCTTTCTGCAGAAACACACCTCATCCTTTACACCTGCAACAACTTTTTTCTTCTTTTTTTTTTTTTTTAAATGTCAGGTCAGCACTCGTCCCTCTCAATCCATCAACGTACCACAACTAAGGCTGATGAATCTAATTTTATTTTCAATTACCATTTCGTCTTCCAACAATTATGAAAACAAGATAATCGAGATAAAATGATTATTGTGCCACATTCTGTTTTTCCTCCATCCACTTTCTGGTCATGTTTCGGCGTACGTTGGTGACGTACGTTGGTGACGTACGTTGGTGACGTACGTTGGTGACGTACGTTGGTGACGTACGAAGGAGTGCGTCATCTTGAGCAGTTTGCCGGTTTAAAATTGGTCAGATTTGTTTTTTTCCTGCCAAACCCTCTGTTAGCTGTTAGCCAAAGCAATGATGAAATAGGTTTTTAATTTCAGTGTTTTGGGGAAACAAACTTCAGATCTGTCAGAACAAGTGAGAGTTGTGTTGGATTTGAACCCAGTTAGCAAACAGCTAGTGTGGTTTCCTTTCAGTGAAGCACAGAGCCATACTACTACAACTCTGCATGGTTCAAAGTATCCATAGCAACAGTATCTCAAAGACCAGTTCTATGGAAGGGGATTAGGGTCACGTGAATGCCAGTGATGCTGACTTGTGTTTGCAGAGATTTGATACCAAACTGGAACAAGTTACCACTGCATATTAAAAAAACTGAAGTACACTGTGGTTTATGGGAAACCTGGAACTGTAAAGTATAGAGAGTGTGTGTGTGTGTGTGTGTGTGTGTGTGTGTGTGTGTGTGTGCGCGCACCACAATGGATATGTGTCTTCTTCTGTTCAGGTGCATCGTCTCTTCCTCTGCAGTAATGACATGGCATGACGATGCATTCAGGTAAAATGGGAGAAAAGCCACCAGTCGCCTCTGAGGACGACTGTTTTGCACATAAACAACCAAGTGGTGCCAACACCGATTCCCGCCTCCACCAAACGCAGTATAAAGTCACAGCTGAGTGCTCAATACTCAGTGTTCATGTCAGTATTATCACATCAAGTCTTATCTTTATCTTTGATAAGTCAATAAGGAGCGACGTGCGCATGCATTTTAACTTCTATCTTAACGTTAATGTTGTAATTAACTGCAGTGCGTTGAAACTGAGCTACATCTGAACTTGCGTATAGCCCATCTACAAATAACTGGATAACAACGAAGCGCATAAAGAACTGTAAATTGAGAAAAATTGAAAATATAACATACAAAATATACTTAAGTGAGTTACTGTCTACTTTCCTACCTGCCAATCACCAGAGCTCACTAATTTAACAGGAACAATTTATATTTCAGGCCGACAGTCTGACGATTCACCTTTCACTTGAGAGCTAAAAGCGGAAGTTGAGTTGCACCACGGTGACACGTTAGAGTCAGATGAATGAATCTGAATGTTTCGGATAATGAAATATTTCCAGTGGAAAATACATCACGATATCTATAGAAATATCCATCAAACTCATGTGATTATTGACTTAACCACAAAATCTCAGAAGGTTTGTAAAGATAAAAATGATGAGTGTCAAGACGTAGTACACGTGTCAGGATCAGACTGTGTTTCAGGTAGTACCTCTTCCCTTTTTGTTTGATAAACTAAACCACATCATCCGAGGATCCGAAAACTGTGACAACAATGACAATGAAAGCTCTTTTGTTTTTACCTCTAAATTCATGCTAAATTATCAGAGCAGCTGTAAAGATGACAGTTTGTTTCTTTACACATTATAATATAATATAGTATAGTAAAATATGAGGAGAAGAAGTAGAAGTTAGATAAAATGTGTGTGTGGTTAACCATGTGGTCTGCTAGTTGTGTCTTGCTGCTCTCTCTCTCTTGTGGCTCCTCAGCTCTCATGTTGTTTATGTTCCTGCGAAGATGGAAAAAGTGATGGTTGTGGTCATGATTTATGTCTTGTTTTCTCTGAGAGTATAATCCACACTTTGATATCAAATAAGAATGTCAAAGGTCTCCCATTTACTCCAATTGCTCTGCTGTGAGTTTCATTTCACCCACAACTTTATTTGATTTGTTCCAAATCAGCATGTTTTTTTTTTTTCTTTCAACCACAT